CTTACTGAGGGTCCTTCATATTTTACCACACTGGGAAGCCTTCAATGTCATTTTCAGTGACGCTCGATGGTCTAGCTGAGATCACCAGATAAGGGGGTTTAAAAACCAAACGGGTTCCTCATGAGGAGGCTGGATTGATGCTGCTGGAATATATTAGAGGATGTCATCAGATGACATATTTTCATTAAAGGACTTTTTAAATAAAAGAAATAGATGCACAGTCGGTGTTAAGAGTTGAATGTGATACAGCCTGCATCTAAAAATAAATAAAAATAACATTATTAGCAAATGTCACAAGACATTTGTGTTCAGGTTGCTGTATTGGACACCACCTCTGCAGGAGAGCTGCTCAGACCCTGGTCTGCTGCATAAATCAAGACCGACGTCTGTTAGATCTGAAATTCTGACAGTTTCATCACATTTACATCTAATGTCTGCATCCAACTCTGCATATGTGAATAATAACTGCTAACTTTTATATCTGATCAAAGGAAATAGATCCTTGGAGGCTCAGAGATAACAGGTACAGATTTACCAGATTACGTATGCCTTATTCCATCTCAATCACATTTTTACGACCTGCTTTACCGTCTCCAATTTGCATAAAAATGTTATTGTAGCTAGTTTGAAGATAAATGATTCCTGTGAAATTTTAGCTTCATATATTTTTAATCCTTTAAAGATCTTTTTGAATCCTTTAAATGATCAGCTGATCCACTTTTCATGAACATCTCAAAAAGGCTAAAAATGTCACTTTTTGGCTATTTAAACTATGAAAACATTCAGGTCTCTGGTCTAATATTTGATGCTAAATAAAATGCAAAATAAAGCATGCACAATTCTTTCTGACATTAAATTAATTTATGTTGACTCAAAGAAAGAATCTTGAAAAACATTTGATAAATGAAGCTAAATTGTCACAGCAATCAGTCTATATGTGTCCAAGCTTTGCACCATAAGATTTATAAGTAAGTTGGAATCAGCAAAGCAGAAGATGCACATTGATTTGAGTCGGATGACCTAAACGGGACCGGTTCTCTGCCCTGAGCTTTGCCTCTCAGGCTCTGGGTGTCTGGTGTGGTTTGTGTCGCTCACTGCGCTGTTTCTTTGTTGTTTGTGTAGATTACAGTGTTCAGGATGGGCTCAGAGGGACAGCAGGACATTGAGATGTCCATCCTCACAGCTCTGCTCAAAGGTTGGTGTGTGAAAGGGTTTGAAGAAGGAAACGCACAACAATGTTAATGCTGTTGTGTTAGGTAACATCCTATTTTAGACAGGCGACTGCCGAAGAGAAATGTTGGCCTGCGTTTCAGTTCAGGATCATTTCTCTGATAGGCGTGATTACATCAAAGCAAATTATGCTTTTCTCCACTTAAATTGGGACATTTGGTGTAATGAGTGTCATGAAAGCCACATGTTGCTGGCAATACAGATAATTTCTTCAAGCATATGGAGTCGCGGTGATTTCACATGGTTTAATTGGTCAATGTAACAGCAACACATTCGTATTTCTAATATTTATTCCAAAAACATGTCTGTGTAGGGACAGAACTGAGGGTGAGATGGTTTTTTCCTGGTTTCAGGTACAAATGCATCTGCGTCTGATCAGCTGAGCTTGGCTCTGGCCTGGAACAGAGTGGACATTGCTCGCAGTCAGATCTTTGTGTATGGACTCCACTGGCCTGTGAGTTCACAGATACAACAGCTATCAATCAATCAGTCACTCTGTAAACATAAGCCTAGGTGTTTTTTACTTCTGTGTTTGTGGATTATTGATTCCTCACTTGCGTTTGTTTTCTGTTTCAGCCTGTGCGAACTTCACCTTCGGACCGTCCAAAGAGCCCGTTAGCCCAGCGACCATCAGCAGGAGGGGCTAAAGGGAAACCCCGGGGGAAGAAGGGAAAAGGAGGAAAAAGCAAACCTGAACCTCCTGAAGAGACGGACCCTCGGAAACTGGAGCTGCTCAACTGGGTAGGAGACTGGACTAAAAGTGATGTTATTATCTTGAATAGCCGCCACCAGCATCCGCTCAGTGACTGACACCAGAAGCAGGTGGCAGGGTGTGATTGTCATGATGGTGTTTTTGTGTGGGACAGGTGAACTCACTGGAACAGGCCATGATGGACGCTCTGGTGTTGGACAGGGTCGACTTCGTTAAACTTCTGATCGAGAACGGCGTCAACATCCACCACTTCCTCACCATCCCCCGTCTGGAGGAGCTGTACAACACGGTGAGAGGAGGACCTACTCCATGACACCTCCCGTGTGCAGAGTCATAGTTGATTTTCAACGAAAAAAGTGCTCTTTGCAAGAAT